GGTTGTTTGTGATAAAGTGGTGGCATCAAAGGAGGCTTATCACACTTAGGCCACAAGTCTCACTTGTCATTGGATGAACCATTGGACCATAAGCTCTCATAAAGGCCTCCTTCTTGTAACAAGCATCAACATAAGCAATATGATCCTCATTTAATTGGCCAATTGCAGCATAAGCATGCTTGCATGGGATCCCAGTAATATCCCATCTCCTACATGAACAACAATGCCCTGCCAAATCAACCACAACCTGACTTCCATCATGGTTTTTGAACTCATATAAACTCTCCCCAGCAAGCTTTGGAATGCACCAAGCTGATTCTTTCTTTGTTTTCTCCAAAATCCCAAAAATCCTTGGACCAATGGCATGTTTCCATTTCTCACAAGATGCTCTTCTAGTTGCCATCAACAACATAATATAGTATCTAATTATCTCTAGCATGGTTAAAATAGGTTTGTCTCGTACTTCTACAAGGGCACCGTTAAAAGCCTCGCACATATTATTCAAAAGGATGTCACACTTGGAATGAGTTTTAAAGTGAGCTCTACACCATTGTGATGGATCTAAGGCCGCCACCCAATCAAATGCAGCTTGGCTCAGCTGTCTCATATTTTTCATCTCAGCATCCCACCATGAGATGGTTGTGCTCCTTGCGATTTTCTCCATTTGCAATTTCAACACCAATTCTCTGTGACCAACAAGCAAAAAATTTGCTTCTAAGTGTCTGAGGCAGTGTATGTGCTCATCGTTTGGAAAATGATCATGTACTGCATCAATCAAGCCTTTTTGCTTGTCTGTGATAAAGACATATCCGCAGTTGTTTTCGATTCCAAGGTCCTCTGCAAACAGTTGACAAAACCATGACCATGTTTCATAATCCTCCACCTCAGCCACTGCATACGCAATAGGATATATGACATTGTTAGGATCCACACCAACAGCAGATAACAATTGTCCAAGGTGATGACCCTTTATATGACAAGCATCAAATCCTATAACTGGCCTACATCCCTGCAAAAACCCTTGTTTAACTGCAGCCAAGCAAATGTAAATCCTCTGAAACCTTGGTCTTTCACCTTCCAACTCACATTTCATAATGACTGTGCTACCCACATTTGTCCTTCTTAGTTCAGCAGCATAATCTCATAATAATTCATACTGTTTTTCATAAGTCCCCTCAGATATGGATGTTGCCTTCTGCCTTACCCTATATATTTGGGATTTATAAGCTATCACAGACAAATCTTCTCGTACCTGCTGCTTAAAAGTTCTCATATCCCAATTATGCTTTCTAGACAGTTGAGTAGCATATCTCTGAGCTAACCACGTTGAGTTAGCATGAAAGTTGTGATCAACTGTCCCACAATCATGCTCATCAACCAATTTCTTCACTTGAACCCAGTCACTACCATTAACTACTGAAGCAAAACAAACCCGTTTACAATTTCCTGCACACACTGCCCTCACCCCATCACAATCATTGCATTTGAATTTAATCATCCTCCTGTTCACAATTGAATAGTTCCTAATTACTTTCCTAAATAGGTCAGTGGTTGCAAACCTTAAACCCAGCTTAAACACAGGGTTGCGCATGTCTGTTTCAGGCCTAAATTCTTGAAATGTAGGCAATTTCTTCTTCCTTTTCTTCTGGTTCCCATCATCCTCATCATATGAGCTACTATCCAAGCTCTCAACATCACTTTTAGCTACATCAGTTGACTCCCGATCTTCATCTACAGGGGCATTTGGGTCTTCAACTACTTCTGGCTGGTCTACATAATTTTCAAATGCTTTATCGTCCTTTCTCAACAACTCACATTCATTTTCACTCTGCTCATAAGCACTGTCAACAAAATCAGGGTCCTCTTCAATATCTTCTTCTTCACTGTCTTCACTGTCTTCCACATCAGTGTCACCTATATCAGCCCTACTACCCTCATTGTTCAGGGGCCCATCATCATCACTTGAAACCCAGTTTTCAACTCTGCAAGCAGGCCCATGATGCTCAGTAAAAGGCCGGCCCTCTTTTTCATTGTTCAGTGGCCCATTGCCTTCAGTAGAAGCCCTATTTTCATCACTATCAGACCCAATATTATCACTATCCTCATTCAATGCCACAACTACCTCTTCACAATTCTCATTCACTGCAACACCTTCCTCTTCAATGTGTTATATATAAATCAGCACCATTCTCTTATAAGAAAGTGGTACCTTATCACACAAACTTAACAGATCAGCATCCCTGTCTATATCCAGTAACTCCTCATTTACTACTCCTTTAAGAGATAACTTTCCCCATGTGCCTAAGCAGTTTCACTTGCTCTCACATCTCTAACATATTTATATACTCTACAGTACACCAATCCAAATATCCTACATACCCACCAGTATAACACCACTTATTCTGTTTGTTTTTCACAATTCTGCCACCATGATGCACTTCAAAAGTTACCAATTCTTTGTCCTCTACACAGAAACAAAAAGGGTTTGTTTTTAACAAAAGCTAAATAGTATTCTAAGACACTTATTAAAAGCAAGACAACAACCATGGTTCGATTAACATATTCAAACCTAACTAGAAGAAAACAAAAACGGGACCACATCAGGAAAGGTATACTGCTTTAGAACCCCTTTTGCCTACAACACATAACACAAAAAGACCTAAACCCTATCAATTTCTACACAATGCGTATCACTATCATGTCAAAATTCTTTTCCACGTCAGAGGACAAGATTCCTTTTCAGAAAACAGGTCCCTTTTCAAAAGAATCACTTACCGTACACAGGTTGCCCTGCTCCTGCTTCTCGCCAAACGGGCATCGTCGTCGAGTCGAGTCAGTCGCATCGCTTCTTCTTGCCTTCAAGTAGTTGTCGAAACCAACTGAGAGTGGTCTCCCTTTCTCAATCCTTATTCTCAAACCCTAGATCTATAATCCCCAAATCTCAATTTTCCCTCCCAATCTGATTTTCTGTTTTCATTTTTGAGTTCTAACACCGATTGTCGTGGCTGTTTTGTTAGATGGTTCCTAAATTCCACATCAGCAGGCAATCAATCCGTTGGAGCTATATAAGATGTTAGAGGTGGGCTCCACATGTACACGTCACACCCTCAAATTGGTGGGAAAAATCACAGCTCAGTTGAATAGACCAAACTACCCTTGCCACGTCATTGGTTTAACGGAATTTGGAATGGTGTAGACGGAAAGTGGTTAAGTGAAACACGAAACAGTGGTCAAGGGGGCAAAGTGGGTCACTTTAACTTTGAGGGGGTAAAGTGAGAATTGACAAATGTTCCAGGGGGCACTGTAGCACTTAAGCCTAATTTTTATTACTAATTTTTTACTTGTCTCCTAACAAAAGTCAACAGGTTATTAACTACAATGGTCCTTGAACTTTATACCGAATTTTATTTTAGTCCTCTACTTCTATTTTTAATTTTTAGTGTCGTCCAATTGTGTCACACATAGCAATTTGGTTATTTCTTCAAATTTTTGTCAACATATCAGTCAATTTGACGGGCAGAAGCGTCAATTCATGGACAAACCTTTTGCATTCCCTTCATAACATGTTACAACTCCTCCCAATTGAAGCGCTAATTTATCAATATTGTTGGCAAGTTATGGAGAGAATACAATAGCAGAGGTGAGTAGGTTGTCTTATGGCTGATTTATGTATGAATTTACGATTTTATCCCCTCAAATTGACGACCATATTGATGGAATATGATAGAATGACCAAATTGCCAAACGCACAATTGAAGGACGCTTGAAATTGAAAATAAAATTTGATGACCAAAATGAAACTCAGGTACAAATCATGGATCATTATAATTAAAAACCCTTTGGAGTCCATACCAGTATAATTAAGTACAATTCATACCAAGTAAATAAATTAAGTACAATAATCATTTACATAAAATAGTAACCCTCAAGCGCTAACTAGTTAGTAAGCTAGTATGACGCTAAACTAATTTTAGCTCACATCACAATCTATCCCATAATCGGAAATGTTCACTTCTTGGGTCATTATTGAGAGATCATCCTTGCAAAAGTTCACTCAAATCGAAAATCGTTTAATTATGTAACTATGACCAAATAAATAGACACACACCATATTTTCAGTAAACAAGCAACTGTTTAGGATAATAATCATGAGACTAAATGATCTTTGATTTGAATAAAAGTTTGTCAGGATGCCATTTGAATGAGGTCCTAAAAATTATATCGTTCGCATTATGAAATTATAGCGTATTAACTTACTAACTGGTCAGCACTTTAACGCTTTTGTACAAATAATTTGGCCCACCATTTTACCAAAAAATACAGATAATTAAGTAGTATTGAGTGTAAATAAGGGGTATGAGCTTCCTTTGCCACCCATTGGGTTTTCAAAGGAACATATAAAGATAAGTCCTATGATTTACTAGTATATTTTTGTATCATTTGATCAGCTGTTGGGCTTGCACTGTTGCACTAATGCCTAACGGGGTACCCCTGCCTCATGGTAGCTGGACTCAAAGGAGGACGCTAGTTAATTTGTGATGTTAAAAGGCTCTCAGAACTTCGATTCACCCAAAAATAAAGCATCCTGAGAACATGAATTGACAACATAAATGAGAAACTTTCATAACATTGTTCTAATCAACTTGGTCATGGAGACTAATACAATGACAAAACAAGATGTAATTTTTTTTTATAGGTATAAGCAAGATGTGAATGAAGTTGAAATTTTTATACAAATTTATAAATAAACCCAATCCTAGACATGTATTTATAAAAAAACTCAAGCACTATTTAAACATAGAAACACACCCAAAATCAACTCCAAAGTCAACTTTTTGGGTGTGTTTATAAATGAGTTTTGAATGTGTGTAATGATGAGTTTTGGGTGTGTTAATAAAGTGTTTTGGGTGTTGGGTTTTTTTATAATTTCAACCTTCATTTTGGGTGTTTTAGTGAAACTCCCCCAAAAAAGTAGCAGTTTGATCATTGCACAAAAAGAAGTCAGAGAACTCCAAACCATGTAACTTTATTGTCTTGAATTAATATGAGCAACAATAAGAGGTTCAAGATTTCCATTCAAAACAGACATTAGGTCAGGCAGTTGGATGCCGGTTTTTACATCCTTCACTAGTTTGTGTGGATGATACATGTACGTTCGAGTCTCTTTCTGCCACAGATTGACAATGTCATCTTTCTTGATATCACTAACCTCAGTAACTCCTTGTTCGAGTGCAAGGATGAGAAGCTTGCCTTTCAACCGGTTAATGGCCTTGATCTTATTTGCAAAGTGGCTCCTCTCACCTGCATATAATGATAATATTTACAAAGGATTTGCACAAGAAAAAAAAAATATATCATGGATTTTAAAGTACAAAATGCAAATAATGTTGTTGTCACTGGTCATCTAGAAATATGATTAGATCATAAAGAGCTCATTTTAAGCTATAAAGTATGTAAGGGCTTCTAGTAAACCACGAAGCACCTGATGATTGCGCAGTTACACCTGTGGGTATGTGCTGGATGGAAACTGAAGGTCCAGTTTGGCCCTGTTCTTCTTCAAGCACTGATGGCAATGTGACGACTAAATCCTCCTCATCAATTTGTAGGTCATGAGCTTTTCCAAGAAACAAAGGAAAAACATCCACACTTGCTGAGCTAGCCTGCAAGATACTCAGATTTCCAAACTGTAAAATTACTGGTCCAGATTCTTACGAGATATATAACTAATGTAATGAACATTGCTAATCACTAGTTGTGGTTGAGCTAGGTATCTTTTACCCAATTAACTTTCCACCTAACTTTTAGGTAACATACTAATTCAACATAGTATCAAAGCCACCAGATATTGATTGCCTTAGTAGGGACCACTCTGGTCATTCAAAGAAGGGGCCACCAGTACTCATGTCTGACCACTCAAAAGAGGGGTTCGATGTGAGGAGTGTTGAGCACTAGTCCTATATTGATTGGGCTAAGTGCCTAATACAACTAAGTTGTGCCTCTTCACCTAACAGCTAAAAGTTAAAACTTTTGGAAAAGATAGTATACCAACAGAATTATCAATTTTAGGATTAAGTTATATGTTACATGTCATAAGACAAGTGAATAGAGATATGTATAATGGTTTAGATAGTAATGTCACATTGAATTCTAAATTAAAAGTGATGCTGGTGTTGGTGTTTCTTTTGAATTGTTCAAACAGGCTAGTAGATAGAAAAGTACTCAAATGACAGGGACAGAAAAGGATGAAGGCCCTCAAGCTGAATTCTAGATTTGGACATCAAGGATTCAAGGTTAGCCTCAACTGATGATGTCTGCCAAATTATTCGTAAGCTTCTACAAACTTTATCTTAAAGTCAATCAAAGCATATTCTTTCAACAACTGAGAGAATGTTCCTTCCCTTAATTTGGTCTGTACTACTAGTCTACTACTAACTAACAACATATCGTCCAGAGGTCCGCAGCACTGAATCTGTAAGGTTGAGAAAAAGTGGTTTATTGTGTCATAAAGTCTCTAGTTTGCAGTTCCCAGTCGACCTAATATAATGCAACAATGAACTGACCAAGGTAAACCAAACGCATGAGCATTAGATATACGGGTTAGCATTGACTATTGATTGACTATATTGCAGGATTTATTTTGTTTATTAAATTCTAACTTTGTGCCTCCTGGGAGGAATATACTAAAACTGCACTTACTTGAGTACCATAGTGGTAAAAAACTTAATGATTGCAATACTGAGATCAGGGTTTAAGGTCAGAACAGAAAGAAAGTTTTACCAAATGCAAAGCAGATCCATTTTGCGAACTTATAATGTTGTGAACACCTGTCTCTCCTGAAAGATAGCCATAAGCAAACTCAAATTCAAACTCAATAGTTGCTGACTTGATGCCACCATTTGTGGAAGGACGCTTCTCAATGACCCTCCCTTTATAACCTAGCTTTTTGGCCCATTTGGTATACATGCTTAGTAGTTGTTTTACCCATACCTGAATTACAGAAATTCCAAAATCAAGTCACAGATAAATAGAAATGTGTATATATAAGAGGATGGGGGGAAGGGGGTGAGGAGAGAGAGAGAGAGAGAGAGAGAGAGAGAGAGTATAGATTGCATGTAAGTCTGTCAATCTCAGAGGAATCTTGTTTCTAAGATTGGGCGATTTGACAGACTTAGAAAAGAAACGAGTCTTCTCTAAATAAAAATTAAATTTGACCAATAGTTCCATTTTCAGCAATTCATCAGTCCATACACACTTCAAAATCTCACTTTTATGTTTCTTACATGTAGACGTGAGCAAGGCTTCGTTTAATCAATTTGTGTTGCTAAAGCTTTCTGTTTTCAGGTGCAACCTTGTTCAGATTAGGAACTTCAGTCCCCCATTACTCGAGCAAAATGTGACAAACATTGAATTGCCCGCATTCGGTACAATTACATTCGGAAACACTTACTCAGTTGATTTGGAAAAGGAACATCCCATATTCCCTGTTTCACTGTTTTCAAGAAATTGATAACTTATTAAAGTTTTAAGGAGAGTACAGGGTAGAAAAACACTGTGTTTAGATATAGCACCGTAGAGCATTCAAACTCGTAGGTAAGCAATTGTCAAAACTCTTTTTCTTTTTTCTTTTTTTCTGTCTTTTTCTCATTATAACAGATCCTTAAGGTTTATGGTGTATCAAGCTCCTGTTTCGATTCTGCCTACTGCATTCTAGTAACATGAAAAATTTAAGTTAAAACACACTAACAGTTTCAACCATATGCAAGCCCATAGTACCAAGAGCAAAGGTAGATTATCAAACCTCAGGGTAGCCTTCACCTCCAGCTTTGATAACTAGACATGCTCCCTCCATGTCATATGGTCCCTTGAGAAGCTTGGACATCTCATACTGATCCAAAAGCTTGCTTACATCTAGAGATGCAACATATGCTTGCCTAAAAAGCCCATAATGTATAGCATCTATCTCCGCTAACTGCGTTATCAGCTTTGCTTCTTCAGCCTGCAGAGCGATAAGTAGATCTAGTCATAAATGCCAGATCCTCATATTCATCTGAGGAAGGTAGAAATATTATCTAAGATACTGCAGGTATCACATGAAGTGCAATGTAGCCTTGTGTCTGCATACATCTCAATAATGAATAATGGAAAACCAGTTGATAACTTAAATACTCCATGTATTTTAAGGTGTCACCTTATATGTCAAGTCTTTAAGAGCATCAACCACTTTGGCACTGTCAGCTAACTTGGCAAGAATCTCACTGGACTTAGCTGTGTCATCCCAAAGGTTATAGTCACGTATCTGTTGTTCCTGCTTATTTCTTCTTGCTTCTTCAAGTTCCAATGCCAATGGGGCCAACATCTCAGCTCGGAGAACTGTATCTTCAATCTTCTTTTTCAAAGAAAATAATCCTAAACAAGATTCAGACTGTCATTTTGGATCCAATGTAATAATCAAACAATGTAGCAGTGATTCATACTCTGGAGCATAAATAATTATTAATTCCTGATCAGTTCACTGGTTTGCCAAAACAGAATTAATTCAGCTTTTGTTTGTGAAATGGAAACATACATAAGATTCATTTCCCATCAGTCACAGCTGAAGGGTTTTGTATGTCCTACAACTACAAGCAAAAGGCGAATGGATTTAATATGGTATTCCATATACAGATTTTAAAACTGAACACCTAGTGCATAAATTTCAGACACTATCGGATTCATATACCAAAGCTTCAGCTTTTTTTTGCGGCATAAGTTAAGTGCTGAAACTTCTGCAGCTAGAATTAGATAAATATGTAATCAGTCGCACAATTTATTTCTTTTTCCCCTTTTGGATTGGAAAATAAACTCACACTCAATGAGATTGTACTGCAACCTCATCATCCATCCAACATTTATGTGGAGATATGACATAGAGCCAGGACATTGGGCATTACTGACCCTTATTCACCCTCTAAACAACAACCATCTCTTATCACAAAGTCTATGCATCAAACATGTGATGCAAGCCCTTCTTTACCCACAAAAAAAAAAAAAAAAACATTAAGTAGCTGAGAAATTAAAGGAGAATGATAAAGGAATAAACAAAACCTTTGTGAATCCCCTTTCTTAACATTCTGTTTCCTTTTCCCCCAAGGACAGGTCCTAACATCTTGCTTTGGTTCAGGGTCAAGCCCTTGTTGTGGGTGTACGAGATAAGTGTTGGACTACTAGAGCTAGAAGCCCCACTGGTCCTAGCATAAGTTTTTGATAAATACTTATTAAACCTTCCATTTGATTCAGTTCAGCTCTAATTGATCTTCTATAGAATATTTCATGCCCTTATCATAGCTCATTTGATGAAGTAGAGTTTTTCATGCCCTTTGTTTCTGCGCATTGACACATTTACCTTCCAAGCATAGTCCAAGCTTCTTAAACACAAGAGTTCAAAGAATTACAAAAGGTACACAGATTCAAAACCTTATAGTACTTCACTTAAGACCAAGACATAAACTTCAAAATGCTCAAACAGACTGTAGTTCAGCCTGAACTTGCCCCCTATCACATTTAAGCCATACACATACCCATTTCCAGAATTTAAATATTGCAAAAGATTCCAATAAATACAAAGTTATTTCAGCACAAAATTGTTTAAGTTTCAATTGGGTAGGCCCAATACATAACATGGCACCAGTAACTTTACCAAAAGTGACATAATTGTAACAGATACATATAGACATACAAAGTATATATATGGAGAGAGAGAGAGAGAGAGAGAGAGAGAGAGAGAGAGAGAGAAGACCCAGTTGTTTGTAGACCCTGTTCTTGTCATCCATGCAAGAAGTGTGTAGTGACTGATGACTCTTTCTTTCGGAAGCTTTCCAATTTGAGCTGAACAAGGCAGCGGCAGCAGTAGTGGTAGTGGCGGTGCTACCATTTCTGACAAATGCGAATTCTGCGGCCATGCTTGTCATAATTAGAAATAAAAGAGGAAACGAGAGCAATTAAACAAACTCTGTTTTTAGAAAGTAGAGAAATGAATGTTCGGGATGAAAGAGCAGCTGAGACTGGTGGGCACTGGACATCCACGTATGGAACTCAGCTCAGCTCTCATTTCTCTCCGTCTCTCGCTCTCATTTCTCTCCGTCTCTCTCTCTCTCTCTGGTCTTATCCTCTGGACCGTTACTCATGTTTAGATCTCCCTACAGAGCGAGTGTATGTTACTAAATGCTAGGGATCCTAGCTGATGTCAGTTGTCATGTCCAGATTTCTTCTAGAGTGGTGATTTCCCCACTCCTTTTTCTCCTATTTTATCCACTTACACTCCTTTTTTATAACTAAAAAAGGAGTGTAAGTGGATAAAATAGGAGTGGGAAAATCATTGCCCTTCTTCTATATTTTATTTTTTCTTGGTCTTACTTGAGACTTTATTTATTTAAAACAAATAAAAAATTTCAGCATCTCTTAATATCAATATATTAATGTAATAAGTTAGTGTCTGTAGAATTGCTTATGTACAATGATGTATGTTTTACGGCATCGACAACGTGAGAAATTTGGCCATTCGACTCCATATAAAAACTTAAACTTCGAAAGTAAGGATTTCGTTTTGTAACTCAAATAGTTAAGAGTATTTATCATTACATTATAGGTTTTTCTAAGTTTAATTTTCCCAATATCACTTGTATAAAAAATAAAAATAAAAAATAAAAAAGCACTTAACTTCTAAATATTGTTGTAAATCTATTGATTATGGATGACCACCACAATATCACTCATAAAACTAACCATAAAACACATCATAATATCATTGTAACCTATGCACTAAGGATTGTAATTAGTACATTTATGGGTTGTAATTATATGTTTGTAACCTACCAATAATGGGTGGTGAATGTTTGTCTATTCCGAAGCCTATAAATAGTAGGTATTAAAGATGAATGATATACAAGTTCATAGAACAAATTCTCTGTCTTTCTCTTTCTCTTATTGCTCTCTACAATTCCCCATAGTTTTATAAAACGTTATCAACACGATGTTGCTCTTTATATTATTTCTTTATATAAATTTTCTTTTTTCTATCTAAGCTAGAGTCATCACGTGATTTAGAGTTTTCATGTACTCACCTGCATGACTTCATGATGCTTATTATTCTTTTATATTTTATTTTATTTTATTTTATTATCATTTTGCTATCTTGGTGTGATAACCATAATAACAACATAGTTATTTGATATGCATAAACATAGTTAATTGGTATGCATGGTATCCGAGTGTAATAACATGCATTCATATCCTCAAAACAATTGTAATGCATGCATACGCCTAATATACTTGCATAAATGTTTACTATAGCTATTTGAAAACAAAAACGAATATGCATAATGTATAAGGAATAATTTAATGACATTTTTTCTTTTCTTCTTTCATACAGCAACACTTTTTTTTTCCTTTCACACTTGACATGTTTCTCATATCTAATCATACATTAATTAATTTGTTTGTTTATTAATTTTAAGCATATTTTTTAGAAGAGATCAGAGCCTGAAGTTCTTCGATCCTCATCATATAACTAAATTAGAACCTGAAGTTCCTTTATCAAATCAGAATCTAAGGTTCTAAATAAATATTTTTGCATTATCCCCAATATTGTCAGATAGAAACGTTTATTGGATGAACTTCATACTTTCTTTTGTGGGTTGTATTACACAATCATTAAAGTAGTTGAAGCCCATGCCATTTTATATATTACATTATTAGTTCGGTTGTGGCATATTTTCAATGAACAACAATCCTGTCGTACATTTCATTACTGGCATTCAACTACATTTATGTATTTTTGTATGTTTATGTGCCTATTGCACAAACATAATGTACGCGATGAATTATCAATGCAAATTCAAAATCGAAGTTGGTTTTGATTGTGCCTGCACTTTACTGCATGTTTTAAGGATTGTCCCATTGATTAGACAACTTTGCCGCTGTTAAGGGGAGATATGGCAGTTCCTGAAGAACATCGTGAAAAGAGTTGAATCAATCCACTTTTGTCTCATCAAGATAATGCATATATAAGTTATACATATGCTAGCATGGATTGTTTTTCTTGTATCACAATCCATGAACATGACAATAAGTAACTATCAATAACTGATATATTGCATGCCTAAAGCATGACATATTTATAGGTTCTAAAAACTTAACTCCCAAGAAATGGAGATTATTTGAAAAATCAAGCCCTATTGAAAATAATGATTTATAGGAGGTTATGATCCACAATTTCCAAAATATTCATCTTAAAAGAGATGTTTGTCCTATAAGTGATAATGGAAGCCCCTGAAGAGACATTAGTACCCTAAAGTACTCAGAATGCTTATAAATTATGCATGCGCATACACATGAGAATTATGGGATCACGAATTGATGATACATTTGGTTTATTAGTAGCTACTACAATCATCAAGGGCTATGATTATATTAAATCATATTTCATGAATGTCGACAAGTTAAGTGATTGACCAAAATAGAAATAGGCAATTCCATTTATCACTAAATATGAAGTGTGAGATATTGAACTTATAGCTTAAACACCAAATTACAAATGAAGGTTACAGATTGGTGTATCATCCTGCTAGAGACATAATTTTGGTCTCCCATTATAGATGCATCCACATTTCTATAAGTACAGATGTTTTGCCATGATGGTGATGACCAAAGTCTGTTAGTTTGGGCCTAGGCTTTTCAAAAACCAGTATACCTTGTGCGTCGTCTCGGGCACAGGATTGTTATTTTAACGTCAAACTTATAGCATGTGTTAAATGCAGATTTATTAAGACTGTATGTGTTGAGGCCCAAAAAAATCCAAGGCTGGGCCCAAATATATTTTCGGCCCAGTACAACACCAAGCGAAAAATTCTTATTTAAGCAACATGTCAGGCTACAAGCTTAAGTGGGCTCAAGCCACGCGAATGTCTGGGCCTTGTTAAGCGGGTTGTGGTATGGATGATTACGAGCATTCACGAGACCCATGACGATCCAAGGAGTGGAAGTTTTGGGCTACTTGGGAGCACCAAAACTCAAGCCCATTCCTTGAGCCCAAGTATATGGGTAAGCATGAGAGAAAACCCAATAGCCCATCACCTTAAGAAAAGGCCCAAACATCTTAGAAAAATATCCAATAGCCATAGCCCATAAAAAATCCCACATCAGCCAAAGCTTCCAGCAGTCTGACGAAATCAAAGGGAACTCCTGGAAACAAAACAGCCTAGCCCAGCATCGTGGAAATTTCCAGCATATCTGTCAAAACCATTAAAACCAAGTAAACCCATGTGCTGATCACCTTTTTTGACTAGCACCCTTACCCATTCTTTCCTCTTCAAGCTTTGGTAAGAAAATAAGAGACAAAAATGGGTGGCTCCTCACCCACATGGAGAAGTCCAGCTGCCTGAGGACCTTGGAATTCCAAAAAGCTTTATGCCTACATGCTCAAACTAGGGAAGTTTCACCAAATAAAATGGAATGAAAGAAAGTGAAGGAAAATGAGAGAGGGTGACTTGATAAAATTAAGGTTTTCAGTGCCTATAAAAGGAGCCACTTTCTACCCAGCAAAAACAACTCACCTTGGTTACTGCAAGCCTCCCAGCAACCATGAGAATTCATCGAAGGCAAGCATCCCCGCTAGAATCCTTCAATTTCATGCTTTGTTCTTCCATATTCCTCTTTTCTCTCTCTCAAAACCCACATCCAGAAAGAGCAAGTATCATCTCTCATCTCTGGAACCCTTCGATTTCAAGCATTGTTCTTTCATTGCTTCACATTTTCTCCTCTGTCAAATCACCCAGGAGCTTGATGAAGCTTTCATCAAGCAGCTGGAAATATGCTAAAGCCACATATGCTTCCATCTTCTTCCTCTCTTTCCATAAACACACATCTAGGGAGCAATCATCATCTCTCATCCCAGAAACCTTTACAATTTCGAGCCATATTCCTCCATCTCCTCCCATCTCAGCTCCTTCTCTCTCTCATGCTAAACTCATGAATGCTCAGCTCCCATGCCATAAGGTTCTCATGTCAAGCCTAAGAATTTATCCGTAAGCGACTGTTGGTTTCATTGGTGAATAAGACCAAAGTGTTTCTTAAGGCTCAGCTACCTTTTCGAAACACTCTTGGGGCCTGATCTTTGAACTCAGACTCAAGGGGCAATTTCACCACGTTTCTCTTTAAATGAAGAGATCTCTTCACAGAAATAAAGTGCCATGAAATTCTTAATTAAAGGATTGACACTAAGAGCCCAAAGCTCAAGTTATGTATTCAATATTATTATGATTGATCTAAAATTCTTATGTGAGTACTTTGACTTTAAATTCGATATTGTTACAACATTGTGTTTGGAACACCAGTGATCTTCCTTCAACAGTAAATTCTCCTAAAACCATGTATGAAAACATTGCTACTTGTATAATGAAAGTGAAAGAATGGTTCATCAGGGCCAATGTAAGCAAACCTCTTTACTGAAGTATTTTTTCAAAGTCAATATTCTAGAAGTTGTTGAAGATCATGGGGGAATATAAATCAGGGGGAGCATCCCAGTTCTACTACATACAGGACATATGCGTGTTGTACTTTTTTTTTCTTTCGACTAGGTTTTTGTCTCATTGGGCTTTTCCTAGCAAGTTTTTAACGAGGCAACAATAAGTGCGTCCAACACCATATCAATGATCCATAAAATTGTTGCACTCTTTTCCCCTTTGCTTAGGTTTTTGTCCCACTCGGTTTTCCAAGCAAGGTTTTTAATAAGGCAACTATATCATTATATGGTAGACATCGAAAGAGGAGTGTTGTAAATCTATTGATTGTAAATGACCACCATAATATCACTCATAATACCTACCATAAAACACATCATAATGTCATTGTAACCTATGCATTAAGGATTGTATTTAGTACATTTATGGGTTGTAATTATGTGCTTGTAACCTACCAATAATGGGTGGTGAATGTTTTTCTATCCCCAAAGCCTATAAATAGTAGACATTAAAGATGAATGATATACAAGTTCATAGAACAAATTCTCTATCTTTCTTTTTCTCTAATTGCTCTCTACAATTCCCCCTAGTTTTATAACACAAATAACTTTCTTATTTTTTGTTTTACTTTTTTACATATTTTACTAAAAAGGAAAATTGTGAACACCTCGTAACCGCAAATGAATTTAGGGTCCAGAATAATGAATTTGGGTCAAATTCAAGACAACCCATCAATTTTATTTTTTTGCTAAAGTTAGGAAAGGGAAGGGGGGAACTCACACATAGGGATGGCAACGGACAATTCGGGGCCGGGTATGACAAATACCATCCCTATCCCCACTCCCCCGATAAGAAATTACTAATCATCACTACAAAAGAGGCCACCACCATTAACGTAATAACCAGCAGTTAACCACAACCAGTAACACTAACACTTAGAAAACTGAGTTTTACAATAACGTAAGACTTGATTCAGCTAGCACTAATTTCTCCAAAGTTCGAAGTTACAGTCCCATTAGAAACACAACTTTATGCTTCAGTTGAAAACAAAATGGGCCTTGTACCATCCTAAAGAGCATCCCAGCCGAAAGGACTTTGGAAATCCGCCCTTGGGTACCAGGAATAAACGGTCTTTCATGGTTAAAAGAGTACTAGAATATATTATAAACAAAAATTATAACAAAAAGAGTTCTAGCATATATTTTAATTTACTGTTATGAGATATTTACATTCACTAGAGATCATCCACACCATGCATATGAGTTCATCAAAGGGACTCTGCAAACTGGGGAGCCTCCAAGTCAAGCTCTTGTCCCATGACACAGTTCATAAGCCAATCACTACTAAATGTCCATATCCCCTTATTTACAGCCAACAATACTTCTTCCATGTCTTCTTCGCATGCCACAAAGATTGTTTTTGAAGCTTCATTTACTTTCTCCAATTCACTAATAATCTGAATTTGATCCAACATTAATCAGTGTCGACCGTTATAATATGAAGACACTACTTAGAAATAAGACATAGACTAGCAGCGTTTTAGTTCTGAAAGCCACAATGAAGGAAAATGAACATGGCAAACAGGTATACAAACAAAGTGGGCCATGTACGTCATCAAAATTCACAAGCTCAATATTGTGTACTGGCAACAATATCCCTCCCAATGGCAAATTCGATATTCCTCCCAAAAAGTTTAAGATAGTTCTGAGACTAACAGAGGAGTAAACATTCCAGATTAATATCATTACCATTAACAGTTTATCTCCTGACAGATGGGAGAACAATGATTATATAAAAGTGAAGTATTAAGAAAGAATGCACGAAATTGTTTTCAAGACAAAATGCCAAGAGACATTCTGGTCATCCTTTCTCCCCATATTACCCTCTTATAGATCCCTATCCCTATAATAGATAATAATCAATTTAAGGAATTACAATCTCCAGAATCCACAACCATGTTTATGATAACCAGTAAAGATCAAGCACAGTGAACCTAACAGTTGTCACACAACCAGTTCTGAGCAGTTTAATGAAGACGGGGAAAATACGGAAAATGCTATGTTGAAATTGCATCTTGCTCAAGCTGGTGCGTCCGTGTCCAAATTTGAGAATCTTAAGTTGATATCTTGACACTTTTGTAAAACATGCATTTTTTTTTTTCGTTGCTTCCTCTAGAAACTAATAAAGGTGAAGATAAATATTGAAGCACAAAACACGTTGTTAGCAGCGAAAACGCTTTCTGGTTGAAATTAAGGTTTTCTAAAACACATCCTGCCAGTTTGGTAGGTTTCATTTGCTAAAAATTCATTTTATAAGCATGACATACAGAATGCAAGATGCCATTCCCCTAGACCATTAAAATGTTCAAATTTTCAATCGCAAGCATGCTTAACCAATATTTAGATTCAGAGTGGGGAACTTACATTTCCTCCAGCAGACCTGACAATGCAAGATAACATCCTAGCAGTGGGTTGAACATGAGCCGCTATGTATACATCGTAGCCTTTAAGCAAGCCTTGGGGACTTGCTTTTGCTCTGAGAACTGCACCTCTTAACTCAGTTTTATATTTGAGCACGTATTCTTTATCATCTAATATGTAAGATGATTCATCTGAAAAAAAAGAAATCCAACAATGGGAAAAAAAAATGCTTAAGGTGTTACTAATACAACAAAACCATAGTCAATTCAACTCACCCACATATCTTCCTTGACGAAAGCTTTCTTTCAACCAGCTGGGAGAAACTATCCAAGCTCTGCACAGCACAGAAAGCTCTATTAAATAATATAAATATATTATAGGACAAACAATACTAGACTTTTCCTAATAAATTACGGCTATAAACAGAAATGAGTTGTTCATAATTGGGGCTTACACAGAAATGTGAAAAAATACCAGGAATAGTTGGGGCTTACACGTGTTGTTCATGTAGGCTATAAACAACCTATGTTTGGGGATGATTGAGCTAATTCAGTTGATTTTATGTAGCTAAATTATGGCTACTTTTTTTTTTCCGTATAACTAAACTCTGGCTACTGATTGAGCTAACCTAGTTGATTTGATTGAGCGTTCACCGACCTTTGTGTTTATTGAGGCTATATAAGGCTACATATATTACTCAACTAAGGAATGACAAAATATGATGATCGTCTTCTCCCTTTTTAAATGTTCTTTTCTACATGTTATCAGAGTGATATGCTTCTGAGAGCTACCTAACCCACAGCTATCCTTACCCTACTTTCACCACACAATAAAAAGGAGAAAGGCATAGAAATTTTCTTTATAAAAAAAATTATCTCTTCTCTCACTACTATGTTGTGGATTCCAATCAATCTTAATCGCCACATCAACAAATCCAGTGATCCTAAATACATAACTTCCATAATACATTAACTCCACCAATGAAATTTGACTGTGATTACACCAACCAACCTTGATATAACTGGCAATCTCCCATGTGAAATAGTTTTCTGCTATTTTGGTTTAACTAAACACATAAGTTTAGTTTTATTTTTTATTTTTTATAATAAGCTAGAGGATTAGGCAAGATTAGCTCCTCAGTGAATGCCACAGGATGCAAGCATCCACCCTTGATCCCAGAGGAGAGAGGACCTACACTTCGAGGAGCCCCTCATTACAGAATGAGTGTTAATGTAATGGTGCTTTTTGAAAGCATAATGTGTGGACACAAAGGGAGTCCCCCTTCTATCATAATGCCTATTAAAGATGTGAGGAATATGTTCAGCATATAATTAGTAAAGAAGATCACTTCATAAAGGCATGTAATTTACATAATTGACTACAAAACCTATGAGATCATAAAATGTAACAGATTTTTGCACTAGCAATGACAGTAGCAGAACAAGAGAGAGAGAGAGAGAGAGAGAGAGAGAGAGAGATTGGCTACTAACCCTGAACAAAGAGCAGTACAAAAGTTCAAAGTTGTTCTCACTTTCCCCGTGACAACATGTGTGCTTGTGCTTCCATCAGACGTAATAGCACCACCAAGGTCCACAATTACCTGTATATAAAACAAATATAAAAATCAACAAAACTCAAAATAATTATATGCAGTGGAGGGGAAAATAATTAAATTTCATTCCAAAATATTGGACCCTAAAACTGAAAAATGATTATCAGTGTAACAAGAAAAAGTAAAGGAAATGCATTAAAATGATCAAAAACAAAAAAGTACAGCCTCCTTATTTATATAACCAACAAACTCATCTTTTCTGGCACATTATATTAGTTTGAAGGATAGGAGATCTTATTCTTTTAGGAATGATCTCCAAGCCGCGCCCATGATCAGGTCACGCATAGGAACCACTGAGCAAGGAGGAAAGGATTACAGTATTGTATCACCTCTAAGATATTAATTGGTCCCCTTTCTAATGTCAAAATAAAATAAATATCTAGCAGGTCCATTCAGAAGCCCTAGATTATTCACCCCACTCTTCTTGTAGGGTGAGTTAAAAGATAGAGAAGCAGGATTGAACAAACACATGCACACACACATTATGAATTAAGTTGTTGTGGTAGCAAACTGCACTCTGCAGATAGAAGACATGATCTTCAACTCAAAATGGATGCTAAAATAAGATTGAAATTGACATCAATTATTGATATCTGACAAACAGAATTAATAGAATGTATACCTTTGTGAGATTTGCTTTCTTGGTATCATCAGCAATATTCATCAACATGATTTTAAAGAATTCTCTCTGTGTCTGAAATTCCTTCCTGACTAAAGTTTCTGATGTAATATTAACAGGTCCACATTCTTCAGCATTTTTTTCCTTGTAACTACTACCCAAAAGATCTCTAGGAGGATCTGCAACTAAAGGTTTGTCTTTGTAAGAAACAAAGGAGCACCCTCGTAGACAAGAATCACTTCCATCAGTTTCTGAAACTAAACTGAAGTTAGACTCAGATTGGCAGCCAACTTGATGGCTTCCCTTTACTTTCTTTGACTTCAATGATGACATTGAAGCTTCCCAGACCTTTCTCTTTGCACATGAAACTTGTTTGGAACAAGAACAGTGCCTTACATCAGCATCAACGCCACTAGTGAATACCTCTGCAGCACTGACGAACTTGCTGGAGTCCTCTTTGATGAGAGGAACTGGATCCCTGATACACTGCATTGTTTCCCGACACTGAGAACCTACCAAAAACATAAATCTTTAATACTTACCATCATAACAGATTGAAGTTGCCTATGCAAGATATATGGGCAACTGAAATGTCAATCAATTAGTGTTTGTAAATGAAAAAAATTTCATTTTGATCAAGAATTTTCATAATGGTTTAATCTACAGTAAGAAAACGTGCATTCATATGATGCATACCCTTTCGTTTATAGGTATATATTATATATATATGTGTGTGTGTGTGTGTGTGTATAATGAAACCACTGGAAGTTCAAAGAACTTGAATAAACGCATAACTACCTACCTTTATCTTCTTTTTGAAGTCCATTTACCAAATTTTCAGGCTGACAATTTTCACTTCTTAAAGACATTTGATTTTCTGTATTCAGAGTAGTGTAATTCCCTTTAGAAAATCCCGGCAGTTGGTTTTCCAAAGCAGTAGATGACTTTCCATTAGGCTTCAATAAAATGCCCAACTTCAAAGATTCTGAAGTATTTGTGGAAACATCCTGGTTAAGATGTAAAACCATGAGGGTTGAACCACCAGGAAAGCATAAAGCTCGACGAATGTCAGCTTTAATAGGTATCCTGCGGCATTTACCCTTGGTATCCACCTCTGCTATTGATACAAACCCCTGCAGTTTCGATCAATTTCTAGAAAACTTCAAAATTGACAATCAAATGAACAGAAATTTTAACAGTATTTTAAAAGGAAACAAAATAGAAAAGAAGTAGCATATGGCACTAAATTTCCAGAACATACTGTCAGATATATATCTTTAAGAAGTTTCCTTCTCTATCTAAATGTTAGATTAATTATGTTGTGCGTGCAGACCGCGTTTATGTGAGAGAGAGAGAGAGAGAGAGAGAGACAATGAGGAGAGAATTACTTTCTTGTGATACAATATTTCCATCTTCATTCAAACAGAACAAACAAAATAATGATTGCCAAAACCAAGATGAAAGTGCAGTTACTATATCCTGCTCCAATTCTGAGGATTTACATCATGAATTACCTGTTTAAGCCAAAATCCTTCAGAATCCTTGTCTCCCCAACAGAATATTGTACATATACCAACACTCTGAAGTCTCTTTCTCAGCTCCATGAACAAGCAGCTACCAAATCCCTGGAATTACTGATTTTTTTAGTTAACCAGTAAAAGCAATTTCCAAATAATCCCACAAAATCCATTGTAGTACTAGAGAGTTAATATAGGGGAGGGGAAATATTGAAAGGCACATAAGTAACAACCAAACAAACGATATTCACTCTTAGAAAGGAGCATTTAATCATGTTTATTGGGTGTAAGTTTGTTCTCATTCTTAAGAATCGAAACATATAGCTCAGAGGAACAGCATCCCAATACTAAACAAAACTTTAATCATAAGTAACACAATAAAGAATAAAAAGAACTGCAAAAAAGAAAACATAGGAGATAAAAGACCTTGTGTTGGTAAATTGAACTGACAGCAGCAAGAGGAATCTCAGCATA